AGACAGCTGAAACAATGATAATATGACGAACATGGGTTTGTATGGAATTTTGGACTTGGGGGATTGTTCATTTGCACAATATATATTTGATTATTCATATGTAAGCACATCATAGTCTATGTATACAATAAAGGAAAAAAAAACACTTATCAATGCTTGAACAATATACGTAGGATTGAGTGTAATGATACATTTGAGCATAAGCCCTTCAGGTATGAATAATCAAGAAAAATTAGCAAAATGGGAAGAGACTCTTAAGAAGGGCATGCACCTGGGCTATACCTGAAACATTAACTCTCAGACATTCCAACAAATAAATTTTCAAAAAATCTAATGACCATGAAGATTTATACTGACAAAAATATTTAATATTTCAAGCATGCCAAATGTGTTTATAAATAATCATTATATAGTACATACATGCCAAGTTTTGTTTTTAAAACAATTTCTAGAGATAACTAAAAAGTGTTCCTCAATTATCTTTTGTATTGTTTTATAGTATTTCTTTATTGCAACTGACAACTACCACTCATATTCTCAGCTGATGTATTACCATATTCCTGAAACAGAAAGATGTTAAGTAATCCATATAAATTGTGTCTGTTCAAATTCATATCTGATAAAAACTCTTCTATCTAACAGAGTGTATGTTAAGATAGATTTTATTGTATCAAATTATCCCCTTTGAGACAGCATGAGGTTTACATATAAATGCATAATAGCACAATAAAGAACTTGCACAAAAACAAAATGTCAAAATTGTATGATCATTCATGCCAATATATTCTTAAAGGAGCTAAATCGCTAATATTTGGGACCTAGAAATTGACCCAAATGGGTCACATATAATGATGTAATCTGATTGTATATAAACTGATTTACATTCAATTGTTTCCGTTTTGACTCTAATTTTAAATCAGTTACGTCCAGCGAAATACGACACGAGTCTCAACCGAATGGCAATTTTTTGTGTCTGGTTATTCCAGTCTATTGCGCATGCTCTCCAGATAAGATATGGTGTGACTGTTTGACATGAGATGTGGAATATTTCTAGCCTCGTTCTTTTTGGTCACTTGTTACAAATGACACTGAAACGCACTATAGTACACGATTCGTGTACCAATGGTAAAATGTTTATTTTGTCTTAAATATTGGATATCAGAAGCCTACCTTTTCCCGGTAAGATCACAACATCAATATGGATTTGAATTGACAAATAATTCACGTTTTCAACGTGTAAGACTTTGGATGATATTGAGTTAGAGACTTAGCTACTTTAAGTTACTATTTTAAAATATGCAGGTTTATATCTTTGATATATACTATTCAAAAAAAGTAGGGGATATTTGATTTTTAAGTGTTATTAAAGTCACCTAATGAAACTGACGAAGAAACAAATGACAAAATGAAATGAAGTTCACATTCATCGATTTATTCCAAATGATCGTTAGACTAAGTAAGGCACAGACTGACCATTATAAGGGTAAAATGATACCCGGGGTCAAACAGCAAAGTTACCACAGCATCACAACCAAGTCAGTAACGGGTAAATCCTCCTCTTGTTTGCCAAACAAGCATTGATCCGACGTGGCATACTCCTAATGAGACGTCTAAGGTCATTTTGGTCCAGATTGTTCCATTCCTGTTGCAACGCAGCAGCAAGTTCTTGGACATTGGCAGGACGTTGTTGACGTTGACGTAACCTCTGTCCAAGCATGTCCCAGACATGCTCGATGGGGGAGAGGTCGGGACTCAGTGCTGGCCATGGTAATGTGGTGATGTTCTGTTGTTGGAGGTAACCTGTAACGATCCTGGCCCTGTGACATCTTGCGTTGTCATCCTGGAAGATGAAACGGCGGCCATGACGTCGTGCGAACGGCACAACATGGACTGCCAAGATGTTGTCCCGGTAGTACTGGCCTGTAACACGCCCTGCAACAACATGTAAAGCCGTTCTTCCAGCAACAGTGATGCCTCCCCACACCATAACAGAACCACCCCCAAATCGATCATGTCTGATGACGTTAACGTCTTGGAAGCGCTCGTTTCGACGACGCCACACCCTCCTACGTCTGTCCAAAAAATCAACAGTGAACCTTGACTCATCTGAAAACATCACATTGCTCCAGCGTCGATTATCCCAGTGTTGACGATCCCTACACCAACGACGTCTTGCCTGAATGTGATGATCTCTCAAACAAGGGATCACGCGAGGACGTCGGGCGCGAAGGTGACCCCTATGCAGTCGATTCCGAATTGTCTGGCCACTCACTCCCACACCAGTGTCTGTTTGAAGACGAGCGCTGATCTGATTTGCTGTGATGACACGATTTCTCAAGGCCAAGGTACGGATAAATCGATCCTGGGCTTGAGTTGTCGCCCTTGGTCGACCTGAGCGTGGTCTGTCCTGTACAGATTGTGTATCACGGTATCTGGACCATAGCCTGCTTATGACAGACTGAGAAACATTCATCGTCCGCGCCACAACCGCCTGTGTTGTGCCGATCTGTAGCATGCCAAGGGCACGTAACCTTTCATTTTGGGTAAGCCGACGCATATCAAAATTTGTTTTCTGGTCACTAAAACAATTAAACTGATGTTTCCACCCTGGAATTCAATGCCACAATGACTGTAACATTCAAAGTCAGAGTCGTGCAAATCTTGGGTTGGACCCCCATGATGATCCCAAGCATCACCTGCATTCCATGCGGTAGCTATTGGTGCGTTTGGGCGTCACATGTTACTGGAAATGTTTCTTCTGTTAGGTTCTATAGTGACTTTTTTCGTAGTCATTTGCATATTTTAGTATTATGCCCCCAAAATCAAATATCCCCTACTTTTTTTGAATAGTATATTATAAGAAGCCATCATTTTTGTCATTAATGAGTCAGCCTCTTCCTTAAAAGGACTTGGACAAATCAATCTTTGCTAAGTATGCCTCGGCAGATTATATCAGATTTTCTCCCCGTAGTCATTTGTGTGACCCAAACATTTTGATCTGGTATAAAATGTGTTTTATTAATAATAAAACTGCTTTAAACAGGCTACAAATAGTGCAAAACAATGCTGCACATCTCAACTAGAACACAAAAATTTGATCATATAACAGCTAAGTTACAGAAACTCCATTGGCTTCCAGTTCGAGCAAGGGTTCAATTTAAAGCTCTTGTGAATGTGTTTAAATCAGTTTATTCTGATACTGTACCCAGTTATTGAAAAGAACGCTTTGATTTCTATACTCCCCAGCGATCCAACCTTGTTCTTCAAGTGATCGTAGCATATAGGGCATTCCTAAATATAATAAGTGTTCTGGTGAATATGCTTTTTCTCTCAGAGCAGCTAAAATGTGGAATGATCTTCCAAAAACTCTTCAAGAGGTCTCTTCCATCCAGGGCTTTAAGACTAACTTAAAACATATTTACATGTATTTCAAATTTTTTTTTTTACTGTTTTGTTGTGAATGCGCTTAGAAACACTCATGTGTAATAAAGCACTATAATAAATCTAACAACAATAATAATAACAATATATTGACTGTAAGAAAATTACAATAAAAACATTAATCAAAATGAGCATGTTGGGCTAATTAATTAGATCCCCCATATATGCCAAACACATCCAAAGCTGGAACCCAGCATATAGGATGGCTAGCCCAACACAGCATTTTTTAACTTAATATATATTCATTAATTGATATGATTAAAGTCTGATCACTTATATTGTAAACCCTAGATGGATTTTGTTCCTTTCTCAGTGGTTTTAGACTAAAAAAGGCACATTATTACTTTAATAGAATACAAAACATTTATTGCAATATATTTACATATAACAAAACAGAGTGTAGAGATATTGCATTATGTCACAATTCATTTTTGCACTGCAATACTCATATTTGCTATTAATTAGTTTGTAGGGGGGTTGGGTTGCCAAATGGTTTTACGTGACAAGACGTAGGTTCATCTGTCCAACCATGCACATGGGTTTTTTCTAGATCCCTACCACAACTAAAGACCCTGATGATATGTTAGTTCTGAAATGACCTAGTTTGTGTCGAGTGAATGTTAAACCCCATTTCTTTCTCTTTTTAATTAGTTTGTAATGATTTGTTTAAATAGAGCACTCTAACTTTTTATTGTTTGAAAGGATTGAACACATGTTCTAAATGATTTATATAAGAACACGAGGTATTTATATACATTAGTGTTTTGTAACATTAAATGTCAAAATTATTGACAGACTGACAATATCTATCTACTAAAAAGAAAAAAAATATTGACATTCTCACCATTTATCAATTTGTCTTTGGAATTGATCAGTAACTACAGACCATATTAAAAATTTATGACAAAAAATACCATAGGCTAATAATTTATACATTTCTGAAAAACTCTTTTGTTAGTCAGACTTAAGTTATTTTAGATACAATTGATATAATCAGAAAATACTTTAGTGGAGATATTTTAAGGATATTAATGAGATTTATTTCAGTAGATTATGGGTATTTTGTGTGTTTTAATTCATCTAATTTAGTATTTTTTTCCGCTGTTTTCCAATTTTCTTTTTTCATCACTCTTAAATAAGGTACTACTTCTAACCCTCCTTTATTTAGGTAAAAATAAAGTCTTGAATTTGGTTGATCTGATATGTTATTTCAGTTAGTAAAAAGGATGAGACAGTTTTTACATAGGCTAATTCAGATATGTTTATAACATTATCTGTTATTTCTCAATATTTACTCTGAAGTAACATGTATGTGTACAGATATCTTCTTTGCAAAACAGATAAAGATATCAAATTTAATTAAATTGACACTTTTATTTTGTTAAACAAATCAAAGAAGCCTGGTTTTACTCTGAAGTCTTTTTGATCACAGTTGTTGCAGTACTGTATTTGAAAATACATATTAATAGAAATATTTTTTATATATAATTTGTATGTGTATTATTTGTTGAATTGTGATTTTTAATGTAATTGATTGTATTTTTTCGTTTTTTTTTCAGATTGCGAAAAAAAGAGTAGACGTTATTGACTGTGATATATTAGAAGTAAATATAAAGCTTAGTGTATGTACAGTAGCTTACAGCTAGAGGGAGTGAGTGAGAGAGGTTTTCAGTCAATCAATGGAAATGCCGCGGACTAAAGAGCATGTGTGCTAAACAACTTATAGTTTATAATGGGAAATTATGATTTTATCGTGTTACAGACATTGTGTTGGTTATAGCCATTGCTACATGTAAAATAGAAAGAAAAAAGCATGGCTTGTTTTAATATTAGAGGAGCATTGTTTGTTTCTCTTATTGTTATAATTGTGTTCTTGTGTCAAACGTGCCTGTGTTTTAACTTAGATGGTTCACCAGGATCCTACGCAAAATTTGACCATTGGGAGCCATGCATTAACGGTTCTTTAAGCTTTGAATTTAAAACAGATCGTCCAAATGCTTTATTGTTTTACATAGATGATGGTCATTCTAGTTTCTTTGAATTAAAATTAGTTGGTGGTATCGCCAGATTAAGACTTAATCTAGGCGGAGGTACTGTGATCCTTTCTGCTGGTCAAAGTTTAAATGACCAGCAGTGGCATAAAGTAGAAATCAGACGCAATGGTGAGCAGACGACACTTACCGTTGATAAAATTGAACATACACGAACATTACATGGTAACGAATTTGATTTAAATAGTACGGACGATAGATATTTTTTTATTGGTGGGTTACCCGATGATTATGACCAAAAACTCACAACATTAGCTCTTCCTTCCGTTATTTTTGAGCCAAAATTTCGTGGATCCATCCGAAACTTGTTTTATAGCAGCTGTGCTGGTCCCGTTGAGCGACCCACCATGATCAACCATGATGGAATATTGTCGAGTGATGAGGATTTATGTGAAAGAGGAAATCCTTGTCTTAACGGTGGTATGTGCTTGACAACCGATGATGGCTTGATGTGTGATTGTACCAGAATTGAATTTGATGGTGATCGATGTGAGACTGGTAAGTAGTGTCTCTACTAAGATAGCATAAATAACCAAGTGGTGTCTTTTTTGGAAGTTAGGGAATAAAGTTCTCAGATTTTGAAGCTTCATTTGGATAGAATGAATAACAATCTAAACAATAAATGGACAGTGCAGATGCAACAGTTATCACAGTGTCAATCCCATAATTTTAGTTTGTCAGCCTCCGAAATCCATACACTACTAATTATAATAAAGACCCCTACATGGAAGTAAATTATTGAAATGATATTGTACCATATGTTAGTCCAGAAATGGCCTAGTTAGTGTTTAGTGAACGTTAGATTCCATTTCTCTTCTCTCTTTTTTAAGACATTTCCTTCATTTATAGCATCATCACCTAAGATTTAATTTTACTAGCAAATATTCTATTCTATTTGTTTAATTGTGTGTGTGTAAAAATGGCTTTACCTAACGTCCATATGTTACAATGACATGATCTCACAGACAAATTTTAATAGCATCATCAGTTTTCAAATACGCCTGCTGGTTATCATTGTGTAGGCCAACCTGAGTTTCTGTTTCAAAATTTTTCCATTCGGACATTTTTCTCGATCAACATCAATGCAACCCTAGTCTGGACAACACTTTTAACGGATCAACACAATTTATATTTCTGTCATTTACTGGGTTTTTGTAGGTGTTAAGAATGTGATCAGAAAGAAATTTCTACCAGTGAAGAAATATAAGAATTCTTTAAACTAAAAAAAATAATCAGTTCTCAAGAAACTAGTTTTTGCTCTGCTTTGCACAGATTGTAATGAACTTCCTTTTAAGATACTGTATCTGTGTACAAAGACAAGACTCATCTGGTAACTAAAACTAAATCATTAAACATCAAACACTTGCTTTGTTACAACCAATAAGTCGCTATTTTTTCTCTCCTGTCATTTGAATACCTTTCTTGAAAGTCTATCAGGAGGTTGTTTATTCAGAAAATGGATCTTTTTATTCTGCTGTTTGAAAAATGTTCGCTTCTTGTAAAGCCAGACGTGTATGTTTTAGGCTAAAATGTTTTTAGACAAAAGATTTGTAAAGAGGCCAGTTAGTAATAGAAGAAATCGTTGTTTATTCATCAGGTTTTGAATTATACTTTACATTTAAATTCTGGGATATTCACAAATATTGAGTGGATTCCTGCAGCTATGATTTAGTTAAAAGTCGTCTTTTTAAAGTATCTGTAAGTTTTCAGACTCAAAATTTACCGATAAATAAAATGTCAATATGTTTTGTGTGGTTTCTCCTATCGTTGTCAATGGTTATTATGTTCTTATGTAATTAAAGCAAAATAACTTTGATGTAATTGTCTTGCATGTAAACATATTTTTATCGGCATCTTTCTATTGGGTAGCTTTGATAGAAAGAACAAGCGGTTGCCATGCAATTTACACCCACATTTCCATGGAGTGGATGGAGAACAATCAAAAGGACTTACACTCTCATGGTCAAAATGCTTAACATCAAATTTGAGAAATATTATTCAAGAACTTTAAGCCTTCATCACATTTACTAGAAATTGCTGACAGAAGTCATCCTTGATTTTTGTGTAATAAACATATAAAAAAGATCTTTGATACATAAACATGTGTTGACCAAGAAAGTTCTCCAGATATTATTATCATGGTTCCCCCTTGTCATCGGTGCAGGATGGAGGACGTGACAAGAACAGCATCTAATCATTCAGATGGAATGATAAAACTGAGATCCACTGGACATACATATATGGCATGCAAGTAAAAGAACCCTTGACAGTTGGAATTTGTAATTAGAGTAAGCCATAGTGCAGCTTTCTTGGCAAAATTTCCCTCATAGCACACTTTTAAGTGAAATTTAATACCATTGAGTTGGGAATTGTAGGACAGAAATGCTTACCATATTTGCCTGTAGATGTAAAATGAAGAGGAGTTTATAGAGCTGAAAAACATGCATTTAATTGTGTTATAATTTCATGGGTTTATTTCTGTGTATGTATGGTCATCTCATTAGTTTTTCTGGGTTCTCAAGTTTCACCACAACTTTTAGAGCATGCTTAAAACTGAAATAAATAATTTTTTAGTCTTTAAAAGAAACATAAAAGAAAAGATTTTCCCCATTTCTACAATTTTTTTTATTTTGACATACATTTTGTTAGTGGTAATGAAGTCGTAATACTGACATAAATGGTTTGATCATTATTGTGGGAAACCGTAGTATTCTTCTTCACTTCTGAACATTCCCAGTCAGATGACTTATGAATTATATCCTCCATAATAGAGCATTATTGGATCTCTTGTAAGAGTCCATTCAGAACCCACAAAGACTATCTTTCAGTATGAAATATAAAGTTTTGTGTCGGTGATGGTCGATGGTCAATGGTGCTTACTGAAGTACACGTACATGTACATCTCAGACTTTGTGGACCATTTTTCTTAAGTTTGCTATTATTACATTGTGAAATGAGAACTTAAAGCTATTTTCTCTTGATAATCAATAAGATTTCTTCTTCTGGAACAAACTAAGGACACAATCCCAAATATTATTTACCAGCGGCAAGTTAAGTTTACTGAAGTACTTCTTCAAACAATTGTCCACTCTTTAGTGAGAGAATTTATTGGTTTTTAGGCCTAATGGCTGTTTACGAAGTGGACTGAATAGTCCGTCTGCCTTATTGATCTTCACCAATTGGATAGTTTTCGTTTGCCTTGGTTTACAGACAAGAGAGTCTAAAAAACACTATTTCCATATTTTCCCATATTTCCATAAACGATAAGAACAAAAACCATCTCCATTAAGATGAAGTTCTGGGCTGTATAAGAGAGTGAGTGATGGATTAACTGTCATTCGGAAATCATTGGTTTTCTACAATTTAATAACAGTTCTGAACATTATAAAAACATGGTTTATTATCTTGTAGTTATAAAATCATATTACCAATTTGTTCTGCTGTTCTCTAATCTTTAAATGATGACTTGAAAATGAATGCTTTGTTATATGGTTCACAGAAAATAGACTTGTTATGATTCCTGTAAATTGTTTTTGACAGACTGAAGTTTGAGATTTTATAACAGTAGCCATTATAGGCATCAATATTCTGTATTCATTATATGTGTCCGGGAATTTACATAATTGACTTTTGGCTTTGTCGTATTTAAGTTTTTAAAGAAAATCAAAATATTATTACGTATAATTGAGTTAAAAGAAAACATTCCATCTTTTATTATGCTTTCAGAAAATCATTTGTTTGATTATGCAAATCAAATGCCAAAATGTGAAGAAACAGACTATTTAACAAATTCCAAAGAAATGAACTGAATTGTGTAAATGATTTTATACTCATCAAGCTAGTCACAGTTATAAGAAAAAACAGCAAATTTAGCAATGTTACCTCTGCATGCAAGGAAATATTTTGTGATAACTCTCCAAATAACACACAACCTGTAGATGAAATACAAATTCAATAGACTCGACACATTAGAAACATTACCTTATTGGCAATGAGTGTCCTGGAAAGGATGAGAGTACTGAAACCCTGTCTGTCTTGTGATACCCTTGGCCTTACTATCAGTTTGAAAAAAACTGTTCCACCATTAAAATGAGGTTAATTAATTTAACTACGAACCTTACCTGTTGATCAGGGGGGTTGGATGGCTGAATGGTTAGCGTGTGCGCGTTGTATCATAAAGTCTGTCATTGAGTCCACTGGCGTGGTTTCGAATCCCCGGTTTTACGTGACAAGGAGTAAGGTCGCCTGTCCAACCTCCCAGGTTTTCTCCGGGTCCTCTGGTTTCCTCCCACTGCTAAAGACCCCTACGCGCAAGCGAATTATTGAAATAAAATTAAACCATATGTTAGTCTCGAAATGACCTAGTTTGTTTCGAGTGGACGTTAAACCCCATTTCTCTCTCTCTCTCTCTACCTGTTGATCATATTTTAAGAACATTAAACAATTATTGATCAGGTGTGAGATACGTACATGTACATCGATACATAGGATTTTTTTGGATGAATTTATACAAATGTTTTTTTTATATTTTTATACGGAGCTGACAAGATGAACTATTTCATACAATAAGCTATCACAATACAGACAAGGAGATACGATCTGAATCTATGATATTATCGATTGTATGGCAGGAGTTGCGATATTGATAGATATTATCATTTGATAGTCTGATATTGATAGAGTATGGCAAGCCTCCAGGGAATATAAACTCACGGTTAATTCTAACCCATGTGTTAAATCCAGGGCTAGAGGGTTTTTTTTTAAAGATAAAACATCAGAAATGAATCATTTATATCTTTCTTTTATTGTGAATTGAAATATTATTATAGGTAACTGGATAACCATATAATGATTTATTATCCTTTAATGAGAAATAAACAAATGACACTTCATGATACAATTATATAGATATTTGTTTCTGGCGACATTTAGATTGTGTTCTCTCATACTTCATGGCACATGACACAATTATATGGAATAGAAGTTAATTAAATGTTTTTTTCTGGCAACGTTTTTCCTGTACTTCACGACACAATTATATAGAATACAAGTTATATAATTAGATGTTTATTTCTGGCAAAGTTTCGAAAAGGTTTCTCACATCTTTGTACTTGTTAAAGACGAGAGAACCCTCATAAAAATGGCACCAGAAATGAAAATCCAAGTAACTTAATTGCATCCAATGGTGTCATGTGTTTTTTTTTTTGAGTCAATGACTAAATATCAGTTAAACTTGACAGAAAGTCTGTCATTGTGTCGAGTGGCTTGGTTTCCTCCCACTACTAAAAGATCACCTACACACAAGCAAATTATTGAAATAAAATTGAACCACGTTAGTTCTGATTGTGATGAGTGGATGTTAAACCCCATTTCTTTCTCTCTCCGACACTCTTCATGATGCAAGACATTTTAATCTGAAATAGGGCAAATTTACCATCACAGTACTTTCCCAATTTGATCTGTAAAGGTCAGAAAAGAACATTTTACGTAGGAAAGAT